TGGGATGTAAAAAGTGGGGAGAGGGAGCCCACGAGTGCTGAATTCAGAGCCCAGAGCAGCTCCCAGCTCTGTGTGGAAGAGTTTGGGGACAACTGGGAGCTGCCAGCTTTAATTCAGACGAGGGCACAGCCAGCTCCACGTGGTGTTTCCCTCCCCTGTCACAGGGCAGAGGCTGTGCTGGCCTCCCTCAGGGTTTATCTCAATTTAAACAAAGCAGTTTATGTGGATGGATAAAATCCAAACACTTAATTTTCCATCAGGTTTGAAGATTAAAATGTATAAATAGTTTGTGTACATGTAAACAAACTCACATTTTAGCTTCTTCTTGACTCTGTATAAAAGGAAACAACAATTAACTGGAGAAAGAAAAATGTGTGTGTATTTGTGTCATTATTAATGGTTTTTTTTTTTCCTGTGGACACCAAGCAGCCTTCCCAGGAGATTTTAGAACAGTCTTTGATGCTGTTTCAAGAGTCAGATCCTGTCTGTACTACCCATCATTTCTGCTTTAATTCACCCTCCCCTCAACTAGAATATACTGCAGGAGATTATTTAAATAGCTAAAGATGGAAAATAAATTGCATATACACCGAAGTGGTGGTGTAAGATGATTTTTTAATACCCCTGTACAGTCAGTTAAGGGATAATTTTATTTTGCTAATCATGCTTCAAGTTTTTTGCAGTTAAAAAAGCCAAATGCTGTATATGTAGATAAAAATTCTCTTTTACTTAAGAGTCTGCTTCATGCTGTTCCTCTCTCAGCATGTTTTAATGTGATTTAAGAAAAACAGGCCAGCCAGAAATTGCTGTACTAGAAATAAAATAAGAAATCAATGCGGTTATTTTAAAAAAGTTGACGGTGCATTTTTATTGGGGATTTCTCTTCAAATATTTAAATCTTTGTGCTTATTTCTAAAGAATAATGCTTGAAAATATGGAATATCAGTGCTATCCCCTTTCAGTGAATAAGAGCAACAAGAAACCTTTAAGTTGCTCCATTTGGTTCCCTTCTTCCTCTGGAGCATCATCCAGATGAGGGATTAAAAATGACCTTTGGAGCAGATGTTTTGTGTTTCTCATGATCAGGGTCATTGTTAGGAGAGAAAAGATAAGAAGGAATTAAAACACAGGCTTTTAAATGAGAAACTTCTTCTGAAATCGCAGGTAATACTGGAATTCCATTTTCTGAAAATGTAGTTTTGAATAGGAGTAGAAAACTGGGATATTTTTACCAAATATTTCAGGAATATGAATCCATATTTTTATGGTGGAATGTGCTGCCTGCAGACTTGATGTGCACTTCGTGGATTTGGGAATTTTCTGTTCTTGGGAATTTTTTAAATGAAAAATCTCTTTTTTTTGCTCATGTGCTCTCTGTGGAACAACTGGAGCTTTCTGGATGTGTTTTCACTATCAAAATAATCTATTAAGTGAAAATATATTTAGTTTTGTAGCCAAGCTGTTGGTTTGTCTCAGAAAAGGCTAAAAAGGAGTTCCTTGCAGTTTTGACTCTATGTTTTATTTCTGCTCAGCTTTTTGTCATTTCAAATGGAACCCTTGGATCATTTCTTTTATACTCTGGACTTCTGGATTTCCCCAAGTCTGAGATCCAGAATTCCTGTGCTTCAAAATTAACCCTGACATTATATTAAAAAAAAAAAAAAGATCCTTTTTTTTTTCTAGTTTTAATGCCATTTATCACTATGAAAAGTTTTCATCCTCATCTTTTCTGAGCAGACTCCTTGCTCTGAGGATTAAATAATATCTCACTGAGAAGGAATTTTGAGGAGAAGCTTTTGAGGATTTTCATCAAATGCACATTGGAAGGGTGGGAGGATAGGGAAAAATTGAGGAGCAAGAGAAGGAGCAGTGTAGAAAATTCAACTTAAAATAAAATTGTGTCCCCCAGAAAGGCCTTAAGGCCAAGTTTAAATGTCGTCTTGCACCTCTTATTTAATTTCTTTTCATTGGAACAACTTGAACTGTGTGAATGACACTAAAAGTTAGTTCTGCTAATCCTAATCTCTCTTTAATGATTTCAGAGATAAAATAGTAAAAAAATCTGTTTTCTGTACTTCCTTCTGCTCAGCTTCCTGCAGCAGAGCTCTGACTGCTCAGTGCAACACCTTGTGGGTTCTTAAAAGGTATTTTGACCCTTAAAAGAAACAAAATTCGGCCTGTGTAGCTCTGGTGTGTTTATTCCATGCCAGGTTATCTAATTGTGCTCAGATATTTCAGTCTGCAGCAGAGATCAGTGAATGTCCCTTCTGTAACATCCCCAGTAATTCCTCCTGCTTTTTTCTGGACATGGAGTGCTTTATCAGTCTCACCTGCCTTTTCCAGTCCTCTCAGTCAGGATTTAGGAGGTGCTGTAAAGAATAAATGTTTTGTCCTTGACCCAGTGGCATCTGATTTGATCAGCTGGTGCTCAGCTTTTATTACAGTATTTTTGTTTTGCTCTGAGAAACACTGTCTTGAAATGAAATTGGTTTATTTTTTCTTCTCAGCATTTATGTCAAAAGAACTTCTCTGAAGCCCAGGGAGTGCAGAATCACCTCTGGGACCTTTCAGGATGCTGCAGGCAGACTCGTTTTAAGTGGCAGCTGATCTTCTAAATCCTCTGGGGAGAGTTGGCTCAACCAAGAGATTTTGGGCTTTGTTGTTGGTTTTGCTCCTTTTGAAGGAAATTTGACTCTGGGACTTAGAGAGGGCCATGGAGATGATTTGGGGGATGGAACAGTTAGGAGGGAAGGCTGGGAGTGTTGGGTTATCCTGGAGAGGAGAAGGATCCAGGGAGAGCTCAGAGCCCCTTGTAGGGCCTGAAGGGGCTCCAGGAGAGCTGGAGAGGGACTGGGGACAAGGGATGGAGGGACAGGACACAGGGAATGGCTCCCAGTGCCAGAGGGCAGGGATGGATGGGAGATTGGGAATTGGGAATTGCTGGCTGGGAGGGTGGGGAGGAGCTGGGCTGGAATTCCCAGAGGATCTGTGGCTGATCCCTGGAAGTGTCCAAGGCCAGTTTGGAGCAGCCTGGGGCAGTGGGAGGTGTCCCTGCCCATGGCAGGGGTGCAATAGGATGGTGTTAAAAGCTCCTTCCAAGCCAGACTATTCCAGGATTCCATGATTTGTGTTCCTAAAATGAAGCTGATTCCATGTCACTCTTTAAGGAGAGCTCTGTGCTCCTCTGCTGCTCCTCAGCCTTGCTGGACATCCATGTGCTCCCAGGAAAGTTTAGGAGAATGTGGCATGAGGTGTTTAGACCTGGCAACTGAAGTCAAGTACAAATGAAGTCATTTTTTTTGCAAGGTGAAGTCTGAAGTAAAAACTGGGCTGCGGTCTGATCAGGGAATGGGAGTTCCCATCTTTTCCTGATCTTCCTCCTCACTGTTCCTGTTCTTGTCAGTTCTCTGGAGCATCATTAAGGGTTCACTGCAGGGACACAGAATTTCATTTGATTTCCTTGCTGTAGTGGTGCTCTCTGAGACACGTGGTGGGACCTTAACCCGGCACTTCCTGGTTTGCCATTGTTTTGTGAATTAAACTCTCATGTTCAGGAAGAACACAAAATGCTATTGTTGAAAACCTGCTGTCTTAAGTAGGACTTTTCAAGGAGTGGGTTTGGTTTTCTTGAGGATTCTTTCTTTCAGGATCTCGTATCCGTGTTGGCTGGGAATCGTTTGTGTAAAGCAGAGATTCGTGTTTGAGGCACAGAAGGCAAAATTAAATTTACAGGGCTATAAAATAACTTTACAACAAGACTGGGCAGCTGGATTCGAACTCACATAGGGCAGGGTTAGGTGGGATATTGGGAATTGAGAATTCTTGGCTGTGAGGGTGGGGAGGCCCTGGCAGAGGTTTCAGAGCAGCTCTGGCTGCCCCTGGATCCCTGGAGTGTCCAAGGTCAGGTTGGACAGGGCTTGGAGCAGCCTGGGATAGGGGAAGGTGTCCCTGCCCATGGCAGGAGGGGGGACAGAATGATCTTTAAGGTCCTTTCCAACCCAAACCATTCTGGAATTCTCCTTCATTTGACGGATGCCCTCAGAGCCCCCCAGTTTTTGGGAACTGCTCCATGGGCTTTTGGAAAGGGCTGTACCTGTATTTCAGAGCATCACAATTCAACCCAAAGGTGTTTCTGTCTTGTCCCAAGAAACTGCCACCCCATTTGTCCTGTGAATACCAATGTGAGTATATCACACGACTTTTTTGAGGTGATTTACATGGAATTTGTGTGGGGAGAGGAGGGAATTTCCCTGGATTGTATTCCTTACGAAGCTTTTGGCTATAGTTTGAGATCTAGTGAGTGCTTTCCTGATTGAGAAGCTGCCAGGGAAAACTGAGTATGGAGACCAACCCCTGAGTGCTTTTTTTTTTCTTTTTAAGGTGGGGTGGTTTGATTGAGGAGCTTTTTCATAGAAAAAGAGCCCTGCTGCCCCTGGATGTAGGATGAAAGGAACTGTAGCCCTTTCTGTATGGGCACATGCTGAGGTTGCCTCTTCTGGGTTGTCTGGTCTAGTTTAGCCTGGGAAACCAAAGCTGGGATTAATCTCCATGATAGTGAGATAAAACGAGTTATCCTGCCTTGCCTTGCAGAGAGGTGGGAGTCAGCTTTTCCCTGTGGGTCTGTGCTGCTCCTCTGTTCAGTCACCCAGGTAGGGTGAGCTGGGTGACTCCATCAGGCTCTCATTAGGGCTGGTAACGTCACTGCAGTTACTCATTCAGGGCATGAGTAACTCAGAGTTACCCACAGGGATGGTTTCACTGAATGCTGGCAGAAATCTGCCTTGGCTTGATGCTCCTTCCCACCAAAATGGCAAAACACAGAGTTTGTAATTCCACAGAGGTGCCAGCTTGGCTTGAATAGGAATTACCACCTTAACTCCAGAGGAAAAATTGTGAGAAATATTAAAAGCGTGTGAATTCGCAGCACTGCGTCCAGAGTTATCCTGCTTTTGCTGGGATTTGTTTTTAAGCACAGCTTTCCATGAAAAACTCCTAATTCTTTGAATTCGTTTGGCCAGGTCCAGCAGCAGGTTCACCCCAACCTCTCAGCAAAGGAAGATTCCCTCTACTACATTGAGGAGCTGATCCTGCAGCTGCTGAACAAATTGTGCATCGCCCAGCCACGGACTGTGCAGGATGTGGAGGTAGGAATGGGGGTGGAAAACAAGGCCTTGCCTCTGAAATCGCTGGAATTAATTGGAATATTTTCAGCAATGCAGGTTGGAAGCCTTAAAAAGCTTCCTAATGTGACTTTGTGACTGCTCCTGGATCCCTGGAAGTGCCCAAGGCCAGGTTGGATGGGGTTTGGAGCAGCCTGGGATAGTGGAAGGTGTCCCATGGTAGGAATTGGAACTGGATGATCCTTAAGGTCCCTTCCAACCCAGACTATTCTGGGATACTCTGATTCTGTTTAGATTTTATAAGCAAATTTAACTGGAAACTTATTTTCCTATCCAGTGCTTCAGGATAGAAACTGTGGGTATTTTTCCTTTCAGCAATATTTTTATAAATGCAAAATGCTTTGAAGGATTTTCTGCTCTTGAATGCACAATGGATTTAAGAATTTTTCCTACATTTATGACATCAATCTACAAGAAAAAAAAATATTTCAGTGAAAGTTTACTGTTGTCATGCCTGGATTGTGCAGCTGAAGGAATAGAGTTGGATGTTCCTGGGACTTTCTTGGACTCACTGAGGCTCTTGTATTATTGCAGCTGTCAGCTTTTGTGTCATTCCAAAACGAGGGTTTAATGGAGTCTTGATGGAGAAAATGCTTCCACGTGGCTGTGACCCAATAGAGCTTTGTAGAGCATTAATTTTACATTAGTCTGTAGGTCCAGGATCTTCAGCCTCATCCAAAATAATGTCTTTGTATGAGATTCTCTATGTCTGTTGTGGAAATTAAAATAATTTTTATATATATATATATATTTACACACACATATGATTATATATTAACATATATAAGTATATTATAACAGAATATAAATTATATGTGTGTCAAGATTATTATAAGTATTTTAATATGATTAATATATAATATATAATGTTATACATTCTATATTATATATAATATATAATTAATACATTAATATAATCAATACAATTAATAGATTAGATAAAAATATAAATACATATATTCACATATATGTGAATATGTATAATTCATATTGTATTCACATATTGTATATTCACATATACATATATGTGAATATGTATAATTTCTATATATTATAAATATAAATTATATGTGTGTCATGGAAATAAAAGAAAAATATATAAGTAAATATATATATATTTATATATAACATTATATAGTATATATATAATTTATATACTATAATATATTTTATATAAAATATGTATGAATAATATGTATATAATTCTGTTAGTTTTTATAATTTTTTGTATATATATATAAATAATAAACAAGAGGGTTTTTTATTTTTATTAGATGCCCTTTATTCAACATTAATTATTAATTTGTTATTATTTTTTTAATACTGATGCATGAAGATTATTATGTCACTAAATTAAAGCAAAATTTAATAGTTCCTTAATAGCTTTTGGGATTGGATCTGCTCCTCAGCTGTTTTTAGCTGTTAAAGAAAAACATGAGAGCTGTGATCTCTGAAGTTTATTAGTTTATTAGTTTATTAGTGGAACTGTTTGTCCAAGATATTGTCCTTAAGTATTTGCAGGATTGAGGTCTAAAAATCTCAAATTAGAAATGTTTTATAAATAGAAGCAGCCCTTCAGATTGTTCCTAAAGAAAACAGTGGGAAGCAGTGTTAGAGCACAGAAGGCCTGTGTTAGGTTGGATATTGGGAAGGAATTCCTGGCTGGGAGGATGAGGAAGCCCTGGGATGGAATTCCCAGAGCAGCCCTGGCTGCCCCTGGATCCCTGGCGGTGCCCAAGGCCAGGCTGGATCAGCCTGGGACAGTGGAAGTGTCTCTGCCCATGGCAGGGGTGGAACTGGATGGGATTTAAGCTCCCTTCCAACCCAAACCAGTCTGGAATTCCAGGATTCTAAGCTGAAGGATGGCTGAATGCCACCTTACCTCCATTTTTGGGAGGATCTCCTGGTCGGATCCCAAGGAAGGATCGTTTGGGGGCTGCTCTCCAGGAGGGAATGTCACCCTGTGGTGACCTGGGAGCTGATCACAAAGCTGGGCGTTGAATGGCCACCTGCAAAGGCTTGAGAGCTGCCTCTAAGAAAATCTGCCTCTCTGAAGACCTTGGGCCTCCTGTCAGGTCTTGGAATATGTGCAAGAATCTTTTCATCAAAGGGACACAAAAATTTCACCATTTTTTTCCAGCTCATCCTTCAGCTTTTCATTCCTGCTGCAAACTTTATCTGATGTAGGGCAAGTTACACTTTTTCTCAAATAGAAACAGTATCAATTCGTTTTGTTTTTTTTTTGTGGGCTGTAAAGTGTTCAGTATTTCCTGATGGTGTTTAAATCTTGAGCTCCCAGTCTCACAGAACCCCAGAATAGTCTGGGTTGGAAGGGATCTTAAAGACCATCCATATCCAACTCCCTACCATGGGCAGGAACAACTTCCACTGGAGGTAGAGACTGAAACCTTCTTGCAGCTCTTGAAAAGATCATGGATTTTGGGAGATTTGAAGGAATTCCTGGTGCTCAGGGAAGGGAAGTTGTTGGGGAATGCTGAAAAGAGGGAAGCCGAGTTAGGTGAGGAAAGAACAATTAGGAAAACGTGTTGCAAACACTGAGGAGGAGGATAATTGTCTGTAATTGTCTGGAGGGGAAATAATTTGCTGTGCTGTGTTTTATTTCAACCTCTCTGGTGGCTGTGCTTGGTCTCAGTGCTCTCTGTGTTGGGCAGGAGCGGGTTCAGAAGACGTTTCCTCACCCCATAGACAAGTGGGCGATCGCTGATGCTCAGTCGGCCATCGAGAAACGGAAAAGAAGGAACCCCCTCCTGCTCCCTGTGGATAAAATCCATCCTTTACTGAAGGTACCTCTCACCTTTACTGCCCCCCAGCATGATCTTTAATGTGTTTCTTTATTTTTATAAAATCAAAGAAGTTTCTCTTCTTGGCAGAGGGAGTAAAAAAATCACCATAAAGCTGAATTTATTCTAGTGTGTAATAAAAGCAAATCCTTAAATTCGTCAGGTTTAAGACATCACTGTGTTAATCTATTACCCTATTTTGAAATAGGATTAGTTAGTTCTTAACATAAACAAAACTCAAATACCTTCTCTTGTTCAGCAGAGGTGCTTTGATGCCTTTATTTGTTTCAAAATGCTGCAGAAGCTAAAATAGAAGAAGAGGGAACAAGTAGATCCTGTTCTTTGTGTACTGTCAACCAAGATGTGTCCTTTCAGTCACTGCTGAATGTCACTGGTGCCTTGGGTTTAAAAATCAAGAGATCTGCAGTGATGTTTCCAGCTGCTGAGAAAACTTTATGGGAACATAAACAGGAATTAAAGCACTTTTTCAGGTCTTCTTGCTGTGTTCATACACACAACATCTCAATTCCTGAGGGTTAATGAAAGGGAAAGGGGTGTCAAGAGAAAAAAGAGCATTAAATAAGATCTTCCTAAACACTGGTGGTGTTCTTTGGTGAAATCTGGTTTAGAAGTATGAAAACAGGCCCAGAATCTGATTTTTAGAAGATGCACCAACAAATAAGGAGAGCAATTCATGCCTTATTCAAATGCACAAAGTCACCTGCATTGATTGGCAGCTAAAAGGCTGTGTGGTGCAAGCTGTGCAGGACATGGAGCATGTTCCCAGGGATACTGTGCTGCATTCATCCTGGTTTTTGTCTGTTCAGATTTCCATTATTAAAGATCCATTATTTTATGGAGTGCAGAGGGCTCAGTTGGTGTGGCAGAGATAATCTTTAAGGTCCCTTCCCACCCAAACCATTCCATGATTCCTTGAAAGTGAAACCTACTCTGTTCTCAGGAGTCCACATTAGGGCCAGAGTCCTGCAGTAAGCACAGAGATGGAAATTTAAGTACAGGAGTAATTCCACTGAAGTCCCTTCCTTAAATGAATTCTATTTTTAGGACTGTCATTTTTAGAGGAAGAATTATTTCAAGGTGTGTAGCTTTTCCTCTGTGAAAATACTGCAAAATAACACAAGTATTTACAAACATCTCCAGGCAGATGTTCCAATTTCCATTTGATGTCCTCAGCCCTGGGTGTTCCATTACTGTAAATTATCTCCACAGACAAAATCCATTTCAGTCAAAAATTCAGTGTGTTTATTGTCATTCTAGATGAATTTCTGGAATAAATACCATTTGTTTTCTCTTGTTTTCACTTTGCAGGAGGTCTTGGGCTACAAGGTGGATTACCATGTCTCTCTCTATATCGTGGCTGTCTTGGAATACATCTCAGCTGACATTTTAAAGCTGGCTGGAAATTATGTTTTCAATATCCGACACTTTGAGATCTCCCAGCAGGACATTAAAGTATCAATGTGTGCTGATAAGGTAAGGGGTTGGGATTAAAACAGTATTTAGAGGTGATTTGTTAAAGTTTCTTTGATCTGGGAGGTGTGTTCAGAGGAGGATCAGAGGGAGAGCCTGGTTTTAGTCAAAGGCAGAGCTTCTCTCCTTGTTCATGTCACATCAGTCACAGCAGAAATTTAAGTTAAGCCTGGGTTAACTTTGGGAACAGCAGGAGCCTTTCCAAGCAGTGTAAGGACAGAAAATGATGATGTCCTTCATTTCTCTGCTGTCACACCCTGCTGATGTCACTTTGTCACGGCAGCTCTCCTGCGTAACACAGAAAAGACCTTTAGTTTTTATGCCCATTAAAATGAGAAACATTTTTGTTCTGTTTTGTCTTCAGCAGGAGGTTTTGTCCAAGGCTTATGCAAGATGCCTTGTTTTCCAAGTTGATTCTGCATGAATTGTAACTTGTTTTCTAGGTCGTGCTCACTTCCAAGGGGGAAAATGGCTTTGGCAACTGCTGCAGCCTCCTGCTGCCAAAGTTGAAATATTACTCCCTTGTGAAAGTGAATACAGCAAGGATTGTATTAAAAACTCCAAGGATTTCTCTGAACACACTGAAAGGGCTGAGCTGGAGCCACGTGTGAAAATCTGGCTGGGTGTAATTCTGTGGATTTCTTTGGCAGGTTTTGATGGATATGTTTGATCAGGATGAGATTGGGTTGGTTTCTCTGTGTGAGGACGAGCCTTCTTCTTCTGGAGAGCTCAACTACTACGACCTGGTGAGAAATGAGATTGCAGAAGAAAGGCAGTACCTGAGGGAGCTGAACCTGATCATCAAAGTATTTCGGGAAGCTTTTCTGTCCAACAGGAGACTCTTCACACCTCATGTGAGTCCTTTCTTGATGAGCAATGCTAATTACCCCATTAGCAGCCAGAACTTACCCATTTTGAATGAACTGTGTTGGAGATGAAATCAAATTTGATTTATTGTCTGTCAGTGAATAACGAGCGTTGTCTGTGTGTGAAATCCCATGGGGGAATTGCCATTAATAGCATGGGAGTGGAGCTTAATGGACACAATTCCCTGTCAGATGCCAGCAGCAGCTGGATTATTTTGGTCATTGAGGTAATAGTTTCACTTCTCCTTAACACAAAAATTAACTCATCTAACTGCATATGCAGCTTGAACTGACATTTACAGGCTACTCCTTATCTGTAGAAATTCCAATTAAAACAGCCCTTGGCTGTGGATTCTCTAACTGTGAAGGGAACCTCTGTTTGATTGAAATATTTGATTGAAATAGTCTGTGTGGCAAATTTTGTTCTCAGGAGGAGTGAGGAGGGATTGGTGGATCCTTCCTGTGGGACAGGGAGAAGGGGGCAGGTCAGCAGCACCTGAACTGGGATTTTTAGGTGATACCAAAAGGTTAAAAAGAAGCACCAGGGGCCATTCCCATTCCAGCTGGGTGTGGAGATTCCTCAGGAGCTGATGGAATTGTGCAGGTGTGGGGGTAGAATTCAGTGAAGATGATGGGAGGAGAAGGGAGCCGTGTTTGGGAGCTGAGGAATATTCTTTTGGGAATGGGTATAGGAAACTTCAGGATTTCATTTTCCCACAAGAAGGTTGCCGTGGTCTGGGCACTGGCAGGAGGTCAGTGGGAGGTTGGAGGAGGGAATTCAGAGGGATCAGAGGGAGAATCCAGGACACTGGAAGGAGCTCCCTCATTGACTGTGGAGAATTGAAAATCTACAATTAGAATTTGGGAATGAAGCTGCCAATTCCTGCTCCATTCCCAGCTCTGCTGAAGCAGCCCAGGTGCTTGAGTTACACCCGTGGTTTAGAGGATCTGAGCTTGGAGCTGCTGTAAATTCCTCCTGTAAATCACCTCCTTCCTGCTGTGTTCCATGGGACATGCAGGAGCAGAGGGAGCAGTGACAGCGGGAAAGGGGAATGTCTGTCCAGATCCCAGCCTGTCCTGGGAGCACAGCAGCTCCTGGGAAGGATGCTGTGGAAATTGAGCAAGGCTGGATGTGCCCAGGGAAGCCTGGAGCGCTAGGAAGACCACAGAGTTTAACTTTTCCTTGCTTTTTGTTGGCTCCTCTCGATTTACCTCCTGGTTCAGACAAAACCCACTCCAATATTTACATGCTTCAAGTTATCCCAGCCATTAACTCAGCCACATTTTGTGTTTGCAGGACATTGATGTGATATTCAGCAACATTTCGGACATCCACGAGCTGACAGTGAAACTTTTGGGATTGATTGAGGACACTGTGGAAATGACAGATGAAAGCAGCCCTCACCCTCTGGCTGGCAGCTGCTTTGAGGACCTTGCAGAGGTTTGGTGTTTAATTTGGTTGCTTTAGGGGGTTTTTTAATGTTTGTTTTTATTAAATCACTCAAAACAGGGTTTTAATTCAAATACATTGTTTAACATCTGGAATGGGAAATGTCTTCACAGAGCAGGGACTCCAGGAAGGAATGAAAAAGCAGCAGTTTATGGCTCAGGAATGTAGCAAAAGTGCTGTGGATACCCACTGAGCTCTAAAATAGATATTGAAGAGTAGGAATAAGGGAAAACACTGCACTGGGATTGGGTGTGGCTCATTCTGGAACATTATTAATTATTTTCTCAGTTTGTTTTGAAATACTGGAAGGATTTTTTTTTAAATTCTGAAATACTCCATACTAAAACTACTCTGAAATACAGAAGGGAGTCACAAAGTTGAGGTGGGATAGAGCTCAATTTAGTCAGAATTCCTGAAAATAGGTGCAGAATGACTCTGGAATTCAGCAGGGAGGTGCACAGGGGAAAAGCAGCATCTGAGAGGCAAGAGGAGAGTTCAGCTTAGAATTAACCACAGAATTTTAATTGTGTGGGAAAAAACTCTTGACCAAGGTAGGGATGGAAGCTTTGCTGTTGTTGGACATGGTTTAAATGAAATCTGCTTTTCCTTGGGATGTCCATTAATCCCAGTTTTTGGCCCTAAAACGTGACAGCAATCATGTGAACCACTATTAGAAAGGAAAGCAGTGAGTTGTTCTGAGCTGACAGAAAATGTAGCAGGTGAACCACGTGGTGAATGGAAAGTTTTTAGTTTTATCTTAAAATTATGATGTTTATTAAAAAAAATAAAAATTTTATTTAACTTTTTATATATCTTCCATTTTTAAGATCTGAGGATTGCATGAACACCCCAGCACACCTGGAGAATTATTACATTTTTGTAGCTGTAAAAAATACAGATCTTTGGGCACAGATACCACTTATTTAGGAATAGACCATAAAGTTTTCTTGGCATTGCTTCAATAAACCACTCATGTAGGAAAGTCCAGTTGACCAAATCTTAGCAGTTATTGAAGCATAATTGCTTTATAATGATAAGGAGAAGTGTTTGATCAATGGATTAAAGTAGTTAAAATATTGAAACTGAAAAGAAAAAATCCTTAAATTTGAAATAGTGAAATAGTGCAGCATTGTCCTGGAAAAAAAAATAAATCTGATTTTATTGCAAAAGCTGCTCTGAGTCATCCTGTGCTTAATGGAAACAAATCCTTTTCAATGAGTGAAAATCTCATCTGATTTTTCATTCACTGAAAAACTTGAAGAGGAAATGAAATCCAGATTATTTTTCCAAGCTTTTCATGAAGGTAATCTATTTAAATTTATTAATTCAGTTAATATGGGACGAGACCTGCTTAATAACTGAGCTGCTGATTTGATCATCTCACAGGGTGAGATCATCTTTCTGTCAGTGTTTGCAAAAGGAATCATCAAAGAGAGATATGAAAGTGTTTATTTGCTTTGCTTATCTCACTGCCAGGGTTGTTCATTTAGTGTTTCCATTAAAAAAGGTCCTTCAACTTCTTGGGAAGGATAATTAAAACCAAACAACTCTTGCAAGCTGGAATCTTCCTGCTTTGTCTATTTTTTTCTGCATCAGGCCCCTGCATGGTTTAAAAACACAAATATTGTCGAGGTTTTGAGATAAGGAAGTGTAGGGAAAATAAAACATTAATTTCATGTATGGGGAAAATAAAACATTTTTTGCTGATGTGGGGGAAATTCAGAAACTGACACCCAAAAGTGGGAGATGGATGGTTGAGAGCCTCAGAACAGGGCAGAGGTTTCTGCCTGCTTTGGAGGGATCTTCACACAGCAGCTGATAAAACAAGGGGATTGTCAGTAGATTGTAAATTTGTTTTCTGGTGTTTGTGGTTCCACGAGAGGAGTTTGAAGTATCCACAAAGGAATAAGGGTGGGAAGCAGTGCCCAGCCCAGGGGGGTGGAATGGGCAAACACCAGTCCAGGGCTGTATCCTGCACTGAGATAATTTATATGGACATCAGGGTGGTGCTTCCATAGAATCCCAGAATGGATTGGGTTGGAAGGAGCTTAAATCCCATCCCAGCCCTGCCATGGCAGGGACAGCTCCCACTGTCCCAGGCTGCTCCAGCCCCAGTGTCCAGCCTGACCTTGGACCCTTCCAGGGATCCAGGGACAGCCACAGCTGCTCTGGGAATTCTATTCCAGGGCCTCCCAACCCTCCCAGCCAAGAATTCCCAATATCCCATCTAACCCTGCCCTCTTTCCACCAAAAGCCATCAATTTCAATATTCCAGAATTCCATATTTCAGACACTTTTGCAGCATTGCATGCATAAAACCCTTTTTAACTAATTAATCTCTTGGGGAAGATCCCTAATGCAGTTCATTTTAATCTCATGTTCATTGAACAAACCCAAAATATAAAAATACTGATTGAAACCTAAGTGGAAGAAACTAAAACCACTTGTAAATGCAGTAAAAATTTCAATAAATTCCAGAAGGCAGCACAGAGTCAGGGAAGATTGACCTGGCTCCTGCAATGGATTTGCACTGTGGATTCCACTGTGACTTGAGACTTCACCAATGTTCAGACAAGCCTTTAGTGGGGTTGGTATTCCCAAATCCAGCAGCCTGGCAAGCTCTGAGGTGAAAAGAGGGATGTGCTGATCGCAGCAGTGACTCAGGAGTGAATCAGCCCCAGGAGTCTGCAGGGACTGGGATCATCCTGACAAGCCCTGGCACAGCCCAGCTGGGAGCCAGAAATGATTCCTGTGGGATTCCTGTACACCCAGAAATGATTCCTGTGGGATTCCTGCAGCCAGAAATGATTCCTGTGGGATCTCTGTACACCCAGAAATGATTCCTGTGAGATCCCTGTGCAGCCAGGTTTCCATCCCATCCAGCTCTTACTGATCTGTGGAATCACAGCTGGATACTCCAAACAGAACCATAATTTTTGCATCTAAACCCTTGATGTCATTTGAAGACTTTCCCCTGAGACCGGTTGCTTTGTCCCAGATGAGATATTTTCCCTGGAAAAGTGTCCCAGGTTTCCACATTGTCCATCTTCATGGACAGAGAGGAGGTAAAATTGCCATTCCATGGGAAATGGGGTGAAAAGCAAAAACTTCTCTTGGTTCCCACTGCTTCAGTACAACAAAGTTTGTGTTGGCCACAAAGATGGAGAGGTTGAGGAATGCCAAGAAAATTATGGGCATTTCAAAGCTGGAAGTGAAATAAGATTGTGGTTTACTCAATGTTTATTTTGCAAAATCAATATTTTCTTGAAAAGTTCCATCAGCTTATTAAAGGAAATTATTGTACCAGCTGGGACAGAAATAGCTTCTGTGTGTAATTCTGTGTTTTTATTCAGGAGCAAGCCTTTGATCCATATGAAACCTTGTCCCAGGATATTCTCTCTCCACAATTTCTTGAGCATTTTAATAACTTAATGGCCAAACCTGCTGTGGCTCTCCACTTCCAGGTGAGTGCAAATGAGAAATACTGAATGGCTTTAATTCTCATATTTCAAAGGTTTGGATTCTGTCAGCAATTTTTTGCTTCCAACAAAGTAATCCTCAAGGTCCTGCCCTTTCTTCACTGTGAGATTTTGACTTTGCCTCTTGCTGTAAAAACAGGGCACAGCTCTGACCCATCCCAGGAGTGTTTTGCAGGTTTTTTTCTCCTCACATGAGAACGGAGGGTGAATTCTCACGCTTACTTTGCTTTTTAAAGACAACCACAGGCACACAAACACCATATTTTCATTTAGTCCCGTGCATATCCAAGGCCTCCTTCAGCACTGGGGCTGTGACTGGTGCTTTTTCTGGAATAATTCTTCAGTAATTTCTTACTCATTGCTGGCTAGCAGCATAATCTGTGATTCTTATTTCATTAGTTCCTTCTGCCTGTGTAGCAGATTTATTAATTAGATTAATATTTATTAAATTATTTTTTTAATTTAAAAAATTTAAAATAAAAATGTATTAATATTAAGATGCTGCTCAGGCTGAGCTGGTGTTCAGAAAAGGCCTTAGAGAAGCTGCTGAGCAAGTGATGGGTCACTGGTGCTCCCAGTTAAGCCCAGTTTAGTGGTACTGGGGCACCTCTGAGCTTTCCCTTCAGGGAGTGTTTCCAGCTCTGAGCCCTTGGTGAGCTGGATCATCTCACTCTGAAATACTCCTTGGAAAGTGAGTAAGGAAAGCTCTTTGCCTCCTTCCCTCCGAATTTTTAAACTCAAAGCTGGAATTCAATTCTTTCATTCCAGATGAAATTGATATTCAAGTCTGGTATGAGTGAATCTGGCCTCATTTCTGAGGTAATTCAGTGTCTCCTCAGCAGTTATGCCATGGAAAATGGCAGGAATTTCACCACTGTGGAAAAATCTCATCTTACAACCTGAATTATTGCCTTAGTCAACTACTGGGAATGGAAAATACTTCTCATTTTTTAAGTGATAAACCTGTGATTCTCTGTGATGTGAGTGTGATACTGATTTCTTCAGTAGACAATGAGGCCTCCATATTTCTGTGGGACATAATGGGAGCCCAGTGAATATTCTGAGTATTTCAGTGTAAGTAAACCTCTTTTTTTTTTTTTTTCCTTTCCAGTCCACAGCTGAAGGATTTAAGGAAGCTGTCCAGTATGTCCTGCCTCGCCTCATGCTGATCCCAGTTTACCACTGCTTGCACTACTTTGAGTTGCTGCAGGTAAATGGAGCCACACTCTTATTTCTGACTGAAAATAATTATTAATGTAGAGAATCTGAGCTTTTGAATAGGTGGTTACATTTTACTTACTCCCTCTGAAAATTAAAATTATTTGACACTGGTTACTTCATTTCTGAAAAATAAAAATGTATTAAAAATAGTCTTAAAAAGCATCTGTTGATCTCATGTGAACATTCAAAGTAAATTTTATCAAACAAATATTTATTGAACTTGAGTTCTAATACAGTTAAAATTTAATACACAAATCTAACTTCTTCTTTCTATGAGTTCTGAATTTTTTATCTATTCAGAAAGAGCTAAGCAGGATTCAGTCAGAATTCTCAGTATCAGGTCACACTCCAGCTGCAGCTCAGTTTATCATTTCAGAATAATCCATTCTTAATATTCAACCACTTCTCCTGAGTCCTAACTGGAATTAGCTGAGGATAATGTAAAAAAGGTTCTGTTTGCCCCATTGTGTGGGGAAAGTTTGTAATGCTTTAAGGGTAAATGAATTATTAACTAACAGGGGATGAACTTAAATGAAATGGGTAAAACACCCTGTGGCTATAGCTGACATTTGGAAATAGGAACAGAAATTACTCTTTGAGGTTCTCACTGTAAAATCTGATGCTGCACAGATGAGTTGTAGGGATTTCCTTTGTTTTTTAAAGCATTTACTTGTATGAAAGAGGAAAACAGAATTTATCTGTAATTCAAATAAATATTTCTAGCAGTTGTGTTAATAATAATAATAATAATAATAATAATAATAATAATAATAATAATAATACCAGGTCTGTAATTAATATTTAGCACAAACTCCTTTTTTTTTTTTTTTTTTATTTCTACTTAATTTCACTCTTGTTTTCATTATGTCTGCTGTGATTTTGTGCATATCCTGATTTAAATAAATAAAAACAAGGGATAGTTTATTTTGACCCACCTCCAATGAATGGATTGCCAATATTTTGCAGAAAAGTTTAAATCCCAGAATGGTTTGGATCGGAAGAGACCACAAAGATTATCTGGTTCCACCCCCTGCCATGGCATGTTGCTATCAACTAGATGGAGATTATATGAAAATCTGTGGAATTTCCTAATTCAGGAAGTTTCTGCTGAGTGGTGGAGATGGATTTAATTTTTATACAAAGGAAATACATTTGTTCCACTGTCTTTACATTCTTCTGTAGTAGCAAATCTTGAATTTCAGACTTTCTTTTACTCTTTGATCTGTGCAAAATTGATATTTCTTCTTGAATTTGCTGAAGGTGGCAGAATTCAGGATGATAGGAAGCAAAGAGCTTCTTCTGTCTGAAATTTGGATTGTTGAGATGGTCTCATGGAAGGAAGACACAGAGAATTCCATAAACCAGCACTGAATCCTTGGCTATTTCAAACCTTCAAACTCTTGAATCAAACCAGTTTGGAACAGGATGTTGTTGATAACAGGCTAAATAAATAAACATTAAAGGGTAAAAGGTGATCTTTCTAAACTTGGTGAATATCCACTGATTTTTCCTGAACCTCTGACAAATATTTTTAGTTTCATGCACATCTGCTCTGTAAAATCACTGACTTGAGATCACCGATTTCACCGAGTGCTGCTGATAACACCATGCAAGAAGGTTTTTCAGTCTTCCTACCCTGCTAGAAATGATTCAAATCTGAAAGCAAATAAATGTTTGTTCTGTCCCAGCAATTGCAGGAATGCAGTGAGGATGAAGAGGACAGGGAGTGCCTGAAACAAGCCATCACTGCCCTCCTGAACCTGCAGTGCAGCATGGAGCGCATTTACAGCAAGCACTCCCCGCGGCGCCGGCCTGGGTAAGCACCCCCACAGCCTCCCTGCCTTCCCACAGCTGGTAGGGAGGGAGAAAAATCACCTTTTCCTGCTAGAAAATGTCTAAATTTCCTTTTCAAGGCACGTCTTGTTGCCAGTTTTCTTTGTAGACAGAGCAGCAGAACAAAACCTCCATGCCCCACCTGTAAGAATAATGTGAATATTTTGCTCCTTCCCAGCCAAAGTGTTTTGTGTGCTTTATTTGGAACTGGATTAGGGCATTTTGAAGGAAAAAAAACTGATTTAAGCAATTAATTTAGTTGATTACTTTAGTCTTTTGGGGTGGCAAATCTGGAATTTTTCTGTTCTTCCTTCAAGGGAGCCGGTCTGCCGTTTCTATCACCGGCAGATCAGAAGCAAACACTTGGCCATCAAGAAAATGAACGAAATCCAGAAAAACATCGATGGCTGGGAAGGCAAAGACATCGGCCAGTGCTGCAACGAGTTCATCATGGAAGGAGGACTGACAAAAATCGGGGCCAAACACGAGCGCCACATCTTCCTCTTCGACGGTTTGATGATCAGCTGCAAAACCAACCACGGGCAGTCGCGGCTGCCCGGCTACAGCAGCGCCGAGTACAGGCTCAAGGAGAAGATTGTCATGAGGAAAATGCAGGTGGTGGACAAGGAGGACACGGCAGAGTACAAGCACGCCTTCGAGCTGGTGTCCAAGGATGACAACGGCGTGCTGTTCGCCGCCAAGTCGGCCGAGGAGAAGAGCACGTGGATGGCGGCGCTGATCTCGCTGCAGTACCGCAGCACCCTGGACAGGATGCTGGACTCGGTGCTGCTGCAGGAGGAGAACGAGCAGCCCCTGAGGCTGCCCAGCCCCAGCGTTTATCGTTTCGTGGTGGAGGATTCCGAGGATAACATTGTTTTTGAGGATAATTTGCAGAGCAGGAATGGCATTCCCATCATCAAAGGAGGCACGGTGGTGAAGTTGATCGAGAGGTTGACCTACCATATGTATGCAGGTATCGTGAGCTTCGTTTTTGTTCTTGCACGAGGGAGGGAGCTAATCCTTTATTGGGGTTTTGAGAGAGATGGGACTGCTGGGAGAGGTCTTAAAACATAATTTATTATTATTTATTCTTCCTTTATGGTCTAATGAAGTCCTGAGAGCATCTCCACTATGTTCATGGTCAGTGGTCACAAAGTTTTGTAGAGGTTAATTAGCCAATAAACTGCTGCCACAAAATAATGTTTCTACTTTCACACCAATAGTTCATTATTTTGTTTGATACGGTTTTGCCTCAATGTGGACATTCTTAACCAATCATATAACGCAAAACTACTTGTTATACCTTGAACTTCTTATTACTTTTATAATTATTTTTTTATCTTAACTTTAAAACCTTAAAACTTCTTACAACGTAACTTAACGTCTTTCTATTTAAACTTAGATTCTTACTTATGGTTTTAAATCCAGAAGCCTTCTCCAAGGTCTCAAAGGAATCCTTGTGTCCATGTCTATGTCTAAGCTTGCATTTACAAGATTTTGAGAGCTTTCAGTGCTTGGAATTCCCACAATCCTTTTATCTTTAGTTTGCTGGGCTTTTTTCTATTTGTAATGAAATGTAAAATATGCACAGAGTAAAAATATGTTATTAAATCATCTGGCTTTGCAGGCAAAGCTGTAAGAAAATCTTGGGTATGTAAACCTTTCATCCCCTATAAAAACCACAAAAATAGGTTTCCATGTTTCATCATGGCCAAAGCCATGGAGCTGTTACAGGCTGAGGCTCTGTGAAGGAAGAAAAAAGTTGAAAGTTATATTTATTATATTTATTATATTTTTAATATTTATTACATTCAGCCTGCCACTCTATGAAGTATCTGGGTTGAAGTGGATGACATTCACAATCAGCATTTTTCAGCCTTTCTCTGTGTGAAAGGCACAGAAGTGAAAGCTTGAAGGAGTTCCATGAAGTGCTGATGCTGAGGAAAATGTTGGGTTTCAGTTTTGGGGTGCAAGGGGAAGCTGGTGCTGTTGGGGCTGATGTGAAGTTTGTGTTAAACTTCCCCAGCAGTGCAGCTGGTCAGGGAGAGTCATTCCTCAGGGAAGGCTGAGACAGAGGTTTTAAGAGAATATTGGATATGAAGTTCAATATTTTTCAGGGAAATTCACCGAAGAACTGAGTGAAAACTTCCCAAGCACTGTCATTCCTATTAATTTCCAAATACAGTGTTTGCCTTACAACCTCAGAGTCTTCTCTGCACGTTAAACTTCTTCTTTGTATTTTATTTCTGATCTTTTGCAGCTGGTTAAAACCCCACTGCTGTCATTTTCTTGTTCAATCCTTACAGATCCTAATTTTGTTCGGACTTTCCTGACCACCTACCGCTCCTTTTGCAAGCCCCAGGAGCTGCTGAGTTTGCTGATAGAAAGGTAAGGAGTGATCCTCCTTTCTGAAGGCATGCAAAGGTTTGGAATCACAGAGCAGAATCCCAGAATGGTTTGAGAAAGGACCTTAAAACCCATCCAGTGCCACCCCTTGCCATGGGCAGGGACACCTTCCACAATCCCAGGCTGCTCCAAGCCCCATCCAACCTGGCCTTGGATAGTTCCAGGGATGGAGCAGTCAGTTTCTCTGGGAATTCTATTCCAGGGCCTCCCCACCCTCACAGGCAAGAATTTCTTCCTCAAGTCCCATCTGACCCTCCTCTTTCTCAGTTTGAAGCCTTTCCCCTTGTCCTGTCACTCCAGTTCCTGATGAGATTTGTATATTTGGAATCACAGAACATTCTGACTTGGAAGGAACCCTCAAAGATCAGAGATTCCAACTGCTCCTTTCCTGCTCAGGATCACAGTGTGAAGTTTCAGTGTTTTAATGAAGTCTGTAAAGCAGTAACTTTAAAACAATGATCCAGGTTTTCAGTTCAAGTTTCCTTTTCCCAGTTTAAATGAGTTACCTGAATGAGGTGTGAGCTGGAGCACCTGCTGTGCTTGGGCTGTGGGTGGTGGTGTTGGGAACTGCTCATGAGAACTGAGTGCACCCAAACCTCGATGGAAATAAGGACAGAAATGTTCCAGGCAGTTTGTTTGAAAGCACAGAATTCAGGTAAACAGCATCTTAGTGCAGTGTGGTAAAGCTGCTCTTAAGCTCTCATCTAATCTTCCCTTAATCAAGCCAGCAGGTCCTTAAAAACCTTCTATCCCAGTCTAGACATGGTGTGATGAGCAGAGAACCAGTGAATTATCAGGGTGTGGAGGTGGGCAGGAGGGAATTCCGGGCAAACTGGGCAGCAGAGAAGCACCTGATCCTCCTCACGCTGAATTTATACAAATACATTTCTATAAACTGCAGCTTCTGCACAGAGGATTTGTGTTTTGTCTCAGTTTCCATCAGCTCTGTGGTGTTTTCCCCCAGGTTTGAGATCCCCGAGCCCGAGCCCACGGAGGCAGACAGGCTGGCCATCGAGAAGGGCGAGCAGCCCATCAGCGCCGACCTGAAGCGCTTCCGTAAGGAATACGTGCAGCCCGTGCAGCTCAGGTGGGTGTGCCCTCAGCCCTGCCCTGGCACTGCCAGGCTGGAGGGCACTGATGGCACCCAGCTCTAATCTCTGCTGGAGACTTGAGCCATGTCTGCCTAATATCCCAAATCGTGTCCTGGTTGGTGCCTGCTGGAGCTGGCCCAGCTGGGATCCCCACCCACGGGCACGGCGCCTGTGGCTGAGGGATGTGAAGCTCAGAGCGGGGCTGGCCACGCTCTCAATGCATTCCTTGTTCCCAGGCCCTGTGAAGATAATTCCTCTGTTCCCAGTTTTCCAGCCCTGCTGGTGTTTCACTCCCTTTCCCAGCCCCATGGATGTGTTTGCTCACAGACAGGGAGGCTCTTGTCTGTGCTGCACATTGCAGTGGGCTGCAGGGAATCTTCAAGGTCTTGCTGACCAAGCTAATTTGGGGAACAATTAAGCATTTCTAGCATGAATGAGGGTAATTGTTGCCCTGACTGGGGATCGAGACGGGAGGAGACACAGATCACAACCAGTGTTAGCTTTAGCAACTTTGATTCATTACACTGATGAGTAACATTAAGATGTTCCTATTAATGGTACATTAATATTACTATCAATATTAATTCTACTTGCAATTAATACTATTAATCACACACACAGAGCCCTCAGTTCCTCTGCTACCACACATTGCTGTTGGAGCAACAGCAGTTGACTCAAAGGATCACACTGACATGCCAGTACCTCCAAGGTGTTCACAAAGTCACTCAGGGCTCCCATTTTTATCAGACACCTGTGTGCATATGTATATAAAAGATTAAAAAGATAAATATGTGGCTAACCCTGCAGCTTTCCTCGACACTGAGCTGCCACCACCTTTTTGAACGTGATCCAAGTCCCACAATCTCAGCATAACCTTGGTACTCCTGTGTGCTGCTGGCCTTGGACAGCTTATCAGGCCCTCGGTGTTCCCACTTTATCAGCTCCTGAGGGTTCAGCAGGACCAGAAGTCTCCACAGTTATCAGTTCCTGGGAGAGCTGCCTCTCAGCTCCTGCTTTCCCTGCTTTTGCTGTTTTCTGGGAGCTGTTTCTGATCCATACTGTGTATTTCCAGTAGTTTGAAGCTGTCTTACAGGTGAAAATGAGTGAGTATGAGGTGCTGGGTTGATAAACTCAGCACTTTGTGCATTCCTGTGTTGTTAAAAACATTGACCTCTGCTTCAGAGACTGGAATTTGGGAAGAAGGTGGAGAATTGAAGGTGTTTATTCCTTCCTTCCCTGCTTCCCTACAGTAGAAAATGCTGTGGCCAGGCATGGGAAGGGCTTGGACACAAATAAATGCATGTGAGGGGATGGAAACAAGGAGTTGCTCAGCTGGAAGTGCAGTCAGCAGATCCAGGCACTCTCTGGCTCTTCCCAGTGTTTTCACCACGGGATCTCAAGGGCAGAGATTGGATTAGATAAAATCCTGTTACAGGAAACTCAGATCAAAACTTTGCTTCTTGGAAGGTGTCATTGATTTCCAGCCTGAATGATCTGTTTGGGCAGCAATTCTTTTATGGGATAAACCTTATTTTTTTTACCTTGCACACTGGGAAGAGGAAGAGTTAAGGAATTTTCCATGTGTTCATGTGGATGTCTTTCATCTGTCCTCAGTGCAGGGCTGATTTTTGCTCAGGTGATAAATTGCACCTGGATAAATCAAAGTGCTGAAGGTGTGAGCTCAGCTTGTTTACCTGAAGAAAGAGACAAGCCAGTTTTTTATTCTGATTTATCCTGAGTGCAGAAGGCTGAAAAGCAGCTGGAGTTCACTTTTAGAGACTGATTTATTAGTGATTTATCTAAGAAAGAGTAGAGAAAAATCAAGAGGACATTTAGTGTTATCCTTAAAGGATATCAAGCCTTTTGGGTCATTAAAAATTGTGTAAGTAAGGCAGTAACAACAACTTTGAAGCTGAAATTAATGTGTAGGAAAGAAAGAACGACAAAATTGCTTCTTAACAAGTGAGATATCCTAATTAGCTTTTTCATTAAAAAAAAAAAAACAAGAAAAAAAGGAAATTACAAGGAAAATTAGAAATACCAATTTTATCTGATTTTGCTATGTTTCTTCCTCTTCTGAAACCATCTCAACACTGGCATTTTTTTTTTATATTGCATTTAAAAATAGCACCAAGCCATATTTATGCTAAAACTATTCTTTAAAACCTATAAATTAGGTTTTAAAAAATAGTTTTAGCATAAATACAGCCAAGCTCAATCTTTGCTCTGCTCCTTTGTCCATGTGTATTTTGAGAATCACCAACTACATGAATGTGTAACTTGAATTTTGTAGGATTGTGGTTCATTTATATGGGATAAGCCGTGGAAAAAAGAAACTTAATATTTTTTTTCCTTTTTCCTCAGAATATTGAATGTTTTCCGGCACTGGGTCGAGCACCATTTTTATGATTTTGAGAGGGATCTGGAGCTGCTGGAGAGGCTGGAGACCTTCATTTCCAGTGTCAGAGGTGCAGTAAGGAGGGGTCCTGTTCCCTTCCCTCTTTTTGGTACAAGTTCCCAGTCTGATCCTGGTTTTAGGTCTGAGAATAGCTTTACACACATGAGTAATTTTAATGCCTTTAATTGAGCTGTTTATGAGGCTCCCCTTTACATGAGGAAGCTTTGGCCTGGAGCCTAAACAGCTTCTAAATTTCAAGCATTAGGATAATAATACTTTAAATATATTTCCTTCTGGACAGTCTGGTCATCCTTGCCTGACTGTGACTCAGGCTGTCACCTTCCCCTTCTCCACAGAGAATTCCTTCTCTTTCTCTTACTGAGTTTTTTCCATCCTTATTTTTCACATTTATATGAAGTTCCAACTAAAAATTTTTATCTTTTAGAAGAAGATATTAGGCCCATTTCATATCTCTTCTTAATGAACTGGATTTTCTTGGCAGCCTCTGTGGAGGGCAGGAGTGTTGGCACGTTTAATCCTTATCCTGGAAATTCCAGGTTTTCATCTTCAGAGTGCCAGGCCTTACATTGGGCAACATAATTCTGAGACAGTTAAAAGAGCCTGGACACAGGGTCACTTTTTTCTACACCAAAACTGTCAGAGGATGTGGTTAAATAGAACTGGTTTCACATATTAGTCAGCTGATACAGGTGCAAGAACCCATGAGAAAAAAATAGGGAAATAAAAACCTGATTAATTTACGTGCAGAAATGCAGAATTCTGAGCTCAGATTCAGATTTTTGGGAAGTTGGTTTCACTATATTATCAAAAGTCCTTTAAAATCAGAGGTTCCCTGAATGGTTTGGGTTGAAGGGAGCTTAAAGCCCATCCAGTCCCACCCCTGCCGTGGCAGGGACACCTCCCACTGTCCCAGGCTGCTCCAAACCCTGTCCAACCTGGCCTTGGGCACTTCCAAGGATCCAGGGGCAGCCACAGCTGCTCTGGGCACCCTGTGCTAGAACTCACAGCCAGGAATTCCCAATATTCCATCTAACCCTGCCCTCTGGCAGTTTGAATCCATTTCCCCCTGTCCTGTTACTCCATCCTTTGTCCAAAATCCCTCCAGCCTGAGCTCCAGTTCCAAAAATATATTTATATACAAACTCAAAATATTCCCTCCCCAGAGATTGCTCTATAACACTGACATTTATGAAAGAACACAAATTTATTAAAAACCGACACTTGTAACAAGATTAATGCACTTTTCCCCTCTCTTGGACTTGTAGTTTAACCCTTCCCTCTGTCAGTTTAAAGCAGCATTAAAAAAATGTGTGGGGTTGAATCTTTTTTAATGATTTAAATTTAAATTTAATTTAATTTAAATTTTCCAGGAAAATCCATGAAGAAGTGGGTGGAGTCAATTGCTAAAATCATCAAGAGGAAGAAAGCCCAGGCAGATGGGGTCAGCCACAACATCACCTTCGAGAGCCCCCCGCCACCCCTGGAGTGGCACCTGTGGCGCGTGGGGCACAGCGAGGCCCTGGACCTGATGACCCTGCACCCCATCGAGATCGCCCGGCAGCTCACCCTGCTCGAGTCCGACCTGTACAGGCAGGCCTGAGCTCTGAAACCTTCCTTTTTTCATTATTTCACCCAAAAAAATGAGTGAAATAATGAAAATGGCTCCTCGTTCACAACCGTCCGTCAAAAATACCCCGCCACTTGCAGAGTTCATGGAAAGAGGTTTCCTTGCTCAATGTTAAAATGGGCAAAGGAGTGCAAAAAAGAGGTTTTATCTCCATATCAGAATTGTGACAACAGGAATGCAGGGAGGATAATTCAGGAGTTTTACAAAATTCAAATTATAAAATCCCGGTCCTGCTTCAGTGATGGGAGGTTTTGGGTTGAAAGCAACCAGTTGCTGCAAGTGCTTCACCTTTCTATTTTTGATTTTTAACTCTTTTGAAGTTGTTTTCTTGCCCTTTCAGAAAATTAAACTCACTCCTTTGTAATTTTCTTATCTGGAAATGCTTCTTCAAAATTTGCCAATTTCAATTAAGATAAAAATGTATTTCCTTCTGTACTCGAGCACTCGTCAAAAAGTTGTGTTTTGTAGTAGATCAGGTGGGATTGGATTTGTGAAATATCAGGTTGTGATTAAGAGGAGAAATAATCCTTTAATGCAAACACAGAAATTACAGTTTTTATTTGTACTGAGCATTTTGCTTTCTGCTTTGTCATTCCCAGGGCTGTGCAGCCTTCTGAACTCGTTGGCAGCGTGTGGACGAAGGAAGATAAGGAAATTAACTCCCCAAATCTCTTGAAAATGATTCGTCACACTACAAATCTCACCCTGTGGTTTGAAAAGTGAGTGCAGTGCAGTGCCATTAACCACTTTTACCCTGGACATGCTCGGGGTTTGCTGGCTTATTTCTGCCAAATCCTCCCTTGACTTTCCAACTCCAACATATGTAAGATGTGATTGCATAAATTCCTACTTGAGATTCTGGAGAGGGAGCCAAAATCTGCATGCTGCATGGGTTTTCATACAAAAATTTGATTTACTAACTCACAAAGTGCCAGGTTTCATTTCTCAGTGTTTCTCAAATCCCATCTTTTGATCAGGTGCATCGTGGAAACGGAGAATTTTGAGGAGCGAGTGGCTGTGCTGAGCAGGATCATAGAAATCCTGCAGGTTTTCCAAGACCTCAATAATTTCAATGGTGTCCTGGAGATTGTCAGTGCTGTGAACTCTGTCTCAGTGTACAGGCTGGATCACACATTTGAGGTGAGTCTAGGGCACAGAAAAGGAAAATTAAATCAGAATCCAGACCTGGTCACACACAGTTCTGGAGTGAAATCCATTGTTGGCAGCAAAGCCTCCCTGGAGTGAAACAGAAGAAGGTGAATAAAATGGTTTGAGTTTTGTATGGCTCTGAAAGGCAGCATGAGGCTTTGAAGTTAGAATCAAATGTTTAATTTTTATTAAAGACTGAATTCTTTAAATTCTAATTTAAATTAATAATATGTTTTCAGTAATCTCAGGATCCACGTGACTGAATTGTGGGGTGCTGTAATCCAGGGCAAACCATTGCCACAAGAGGTTCTTTGAAACCTTCATTTTAATTCCCAAATTTTACAATCCAGGGAATTGCCTTGTATCTGCTAACCATGCTGTTGAGAAGATTTCCATCCCTATTTTATTTTTGATTTTGACAACTTAGGCACTCCAGGAAAGGAAAAAAAGAGTTTTGGATGAAGCAGTAGAATTAAGCCAAGATCATTTCAAGAAGTATTTAGCTAAGCTCAAGTCAATCAACCCCCCCTGTGTGCCTTTTTTTGGTAAGTGACATGAAATTTTGTGTGTGGTGTCACTCTGAAGTTGAGTTTGCTGTGTATATCTGGTTAAAAACTGCTTTTTTAAAATCAGGAATATACCTAACAAATATCTTGAAGACAGAAGAAGGGAATCCTGACTTCCTTAAAAGACAAGGGAAAGAATTAATTAACTTCAGTAAGAGGAGAAAAGTGGCTGAAATTACAGGAGAAATTCAGCAGTATCAAAACCAACCCTACTGCTTAAGGATTGAGCCAGAAATCAGGGTGAGCAGCCATTAAATATCACTTTGGGGATTGGAGAGGGGGAAAAATGCCAAATAATCTTCCAGCACTGGACCTAATTTTGCATGAATAGTGATTATCAAAAGAGGGGGGAGCAGTGGCTGGTAGAGAACAAAGAACCACCAAAGGAGCAGCCAAAAGTGGTAAAAAATTAGATTTTGAATCACTGAATTACAAGTATTTCATTAACATTTTCTCTGTATGCTTATTTTTTAAACCTTATTGATACTTGTTTCATTCAGAAATTCTTTGAAAATCTCAATCCCATGGGGAAGATACCAGAAAAAGAGTTTACAGATTATCTGTTCAACAAATCCTTAGAGATCGAACCTCGGAACTGCAAGCAACCACCTCGATTTGTGAGTTTTTTCCTGAAATTTCATGGGATCAGAGAATGCCCTGAGTTGGAAGGGAACCACAGGGATCATCAAGTCCAATTCCTGGATTATTTAATTAAAATCAAATAGCTAAAATTCACTGACCACTATGAAAACAATACATGGTTACCTCAATAAGCCAGATATATTTTCTTCAGAATTCCTTATAATGAGCTGACTTTCCAGCTAAACTTGATTTAAAAATACTTCTACTCCCAATGTTTGTCACTACTAAAATATATTACCTTTGTCTTATTTTAAAACTCATTTTTATTCTCCCAAAAACCTGAAATATTGCTGTTAAATTTGTATTTCTTACCATATAGGCATATGATAAAATATGGAGTAATATTTTTCATTTCACTATCAATTAATACTAATTTAAATATTACTTTTATACATAACAGGTTGTATTTCCTCTAAGATAATTTCTATTTTTGTTTTGTCTCAATATTTGATATTATTGCAAAAACTGCAGGCTTTACCAGGTGCAACCTATTTACTGAAAAAAATACAATTCAATTTAAAGGAATAGCAATTTTAGGGTTTAAAAAAACCCAGCTCCTGGAGCTCAGAGTTCTTTTTTAAGCAGGAAAATCACAATTTAGAACACTTGTTTTTTATGTGTTGTAATTGCCTGAGGAACTGGAGCCATGTCTAATTTTTTGGGAGAGCTATAAATCATTTTTGCCATGTCTTGTTAGAGGAATGAATAAGATGAGGCAAGAAAATGCCAGAAATTGCTGTTGCAAAAATGCTTCTTAGAGTAATTTTATTAAAATCTTTTCTAAAAATAGGAGCTCAGTCAGCTGGGCAAGAATTCTATCCAGCTCATGATTTCCAAAGAGAGAATCTTACTGGAATTTCAGGAAAATCCAGTTGTGGGTGCTGTTATGTGCTGGACACCACTGAAGGATGGGGCCATAATTCACTTTGCAAGGCTCAGCTTTGATCTGTGCTGGATTACACCCGAGCCTAACCAGGCTGGGTTTGTCCACACAGTGAGCTGGGTGTGGGAATTTTGTCCTGGATAAACTGGAGGACATGGATAACGCGTTTCCAAGTGTGTCCTTAGTCCTGGATGCGTGGCCCGGTGACCCTCTGTGGTTTCTGTGGTGTTGCTGGGACTCTTCTGCAGCTCTGAGAGGCATTTGAAGTAAATTTCTATTTCCCAAGGCTGTGACTTGTTTTTCCCAGTGTTTTGTCCTGGTTGGCAGCAGAACCTGGACTCTTCATTCCTCATACTTGTGGGGAAAAAAGATTCCTTCAGCTGCATCCACAGCTTCCCAGCAAATTCCTGCTGTGCAAATAACGCTGCACCTCGCACCAGCTGTACCCCTGGGCTGCTCTTGGAGAAGTACTTTAAAAATACATCCCAGAGCCTTGGGAATGCTGCAGTGCTGGGAATGCTGCAGTTCCTGGGAATGTTGCAGTGCTGGGAATGCTGCAGTGTTGAGAATGCTGCAGTTCCTTGGAATGCTGCAGTGTTGGGAATGTTGCAGTGCTGGGAATGCTGCAGTGTTGGGAATGCTGCAGTGCTGGGAATGCTGCAGTGTTGGGAATGTTGCAGTGCTGGGAATGCTGCAGTGTTGGGAATGCTGCAGTGTTGGGAATGTTGGGAATGCTGCAGTTCCTGGGAACACTGCAGTGTTGGGAATGCTGCAGTGTTGGGAATGCTGCAGTGTTGGGAATGCTGCAGTGTTGGGAATGTTGCAGTCCTGGGAACGCTGCAGTGTTGGGAATGCTGCAGTGTTGGGAATGTTACAGTGTTGGGAATGCTGCAATTCCTGGGAACGCTGCAGTGTAGAACTTTGCAGTGCTAACAGCTCCCTGTCTCCAGCCCAGGAAAACAACGTATCCCCTGAAATCCCCGGGGATAAGGCCCAACACGGGCAGGCATGGCTCCACCTCTGGCACCCTGAGGAGCCACCCTCTGCCCCTGGAGAAGGAGCCCAGCAAGATCAGCTTCAGCAGGATCACCGAGTCCGAGCAGGAAACCACGGCGTCGGCACCGACCTCCCCCAACACCCCGTCAACACCGCCCGTGTCGGCGTCCTCGGAGTTCAGCGTCTTCTTAGACATTGATCTCAACAGTTCTTATGGTACATACATTTAATAATGGTTACTGCTGTCCCTCAGGCTTCACAAAGGAATTGGGGGGGTGTGCCAGCCTTTAAAAAAAAAAAAATTTTCAAACTTTGAAGTAATTAAATTAATTGCCAGCGTGACTTAAATTCTCCAGTTGGGGAATGTTTTACAAGGGGAAATTTTCATTCACGTAAACTTGAGGGTTTTTCTGATCTCTCAGGGTATTCAAGCATTTGTTCTGTGCTGCAGTGCAGTGGTTCTGTCTGGAAATGGTTTAATGGATTTTTCTATTTCCCAGGTAACAACAGCATCTTCGCTCCTGTGAACTTGCCTCAGTCAAGTGAGTGTTGGAACTCTGTTAAATATTTAACTCTGCCTTCCCTGGCTTCAGGAGAGCTCAGTGGGGATTAAAATCTGAAATTCAGGATGAGGATGTGAGCTGCATTCAGAAGGGTTCCTCTTAGATCAGATGTCCAGATGTAAAGAATGTAAAGCCTAAAACTTAAACTGCTGGTTTAGTTTGGGTTGGGTTTTTATCTCCAGGCTCTCACATGATTTTCTTCTAATTTGAATGTCCTTGATGATTATTTTGTTTGACTAAAGCTACAAATAAAGCAACTTGATAATTTCCTAATTCCACTTAGTGAAAATAACTGCTCTGTTGCTGGGAAGGAAGAGACACTTCTTGTACCACACCTGTCAGGGATATCCTGCATTCACCTGTGTTTTCAGCTGTTCTTTTTCTTTATTCCACATACCTTTTATTTAATATGATTAATTCCCAGCTGGAGAGCACAGGCCTGATGCAGACACAGAGCTCAGGGCACTCCTAAGAGGGAAAGCAAAGGTGTGACAGAAATCACCAATTGTTGTGTTTTAATTTGAGGATTTTTTTCTTTCTCTGTAAAAATTCCCTCCCTAGATTTCTTTTCCTGTCCCTCAGCATTGCCTACTGACAGCTGATGCCTGTCTTTGATACTGGACATAGGAGAACAAACACTTTGTGAGGCTAGATCTGATTAAAGAATGAATTAAAGGATTTCTTACTGCTGAAGTTCCTGGTTCATGTTGCTGTGGAGCACAAAGATCTTATTTGAGTTGCTTCAAGTTTGGCTTGATATTCCAGAATATGTTCCTCAGATATTGCACAAGAGATAAAAGATCTGCTTTTCCCTCTCCAGAGACTTTCTTCAGCTCCTGGGGGAGCTTCCCTAAACTGAGTGATGAGCCTCAGAACCCTCCTCCACTTCCTCCACGGAAAAAGATGGATCAGGATGCTTCCAATGCTAAGGTACTGCTGTCCTGGATTGAGTAACTTTGAGGATAAATCAGGGAATATCTAAAAGCATTTAGTTCAGAAAAGACCTTTTAAGGTTTTCAAGTCTGACCATCGATCCAAGCAGGGCTTGGTCAGCCTAAATGACTTTGAGATGCAGAGCTCCAGCTTCCTTTTTAAAAGTTTTGGATTCCCAGTGTCCAAACTCCGCTAGGAATTTCAGGACCATAGTGTCCATATTCCCATCAACAGTAGAGCTGCTGTGTTTCCAGCAGCACCACTGGCAGGGGTCAGGAGAATTCCTCACCTGTCTGAAGATTGCTCTTTATCCAAACATCTGGACAAGGGAAATAGCTTTAAACTGAAGGAGAGTAGGTTTAGATGGGATGTTGGGAATTGGGAATTCCTTGCTGTGAGGCTGGAGAGGCCATGGCACAGTGTGTCTGGAGAAGCTGTGGTTTCCCCTGGAAGTGTCCAAGGCCGGGTTGGATGGGGCTTGGAGAACCTGGGATAGTGGGAGATGTCCCTGCCATGGCAGGGGGAGGAATGGGATGGGGTTTAAGCTCCCTTCCAACCCAAACCATTCAGGGATTCTTTGCTCTCCATTTCTTATATCTCCTTTTCCTCCACAACACCACAGGGAAATTCCAAGTCGGATGACGATCCTCCAGCAATCCCACCTCGGCAGCCACCGCCTCCAAAGATCCAACCTCGCGTTCCTGCTTACAGCACCCCCCTGGAGCAGCCCCTTCACAGCCCTCCTCCTCCTCCCCCCAGGGACCCTGTCCCCGACACCCCGCCGCCGGTGCCGCTCCGGCCGCCCGAGCACTTCATCAACTGCCCCCTGAGCCTGCAGCCGCCGCCGCTGGGACGCTTCCCCCGGGATCCCGAGCGGCTGCGGGAGGCCGGCTCCGGGCCCAGCTCTCCGGGCACCCCTCCCAGCACCCCCTCTCCCCGGGTGCTGCGCCGCTGCTGCGTCCTCAGCGCCAGCCACAACAACCTGGCCCAGCCGCCCGTGCCCCCCGTGCCGCCACGGCACAACTCCAGCCCTCAGCTACCAAAACTGCCACCAAAGACTTACAAAAGGGAGCTCTCCCACCCTCCTTTGCACAGACTGTCTTTGCTAGAAAATGCAGAAACTCCTCAATGACCTTAGCCATAGTAGTCATTGACACTGGAATACTATTTGTAAAGTTCCTCTTTTTTTTTTTTTTAATTTATTCAAAAAAAAAAAAAAAG